TCCATTAATAATTCATGATTGATTGTGTCAAATGCTTTTTTTAGGTCAATAAATATCCCCATCGTGTATTTCTTCTCATCCATAGCACTTGTAATGTCCTCCATCAGGTCGGTAATGGCCAAAGATGTCGATCGGTTCGACCTAAAACCGTATTGGCAATCAGAGAGGATTTTATGTTTGTCAATAAATGTATCTAATCTGTTATTAAAGAGTTTTTCCAGAATTTTTGAAAATTGTGACAACAGAGAAACCAGTCTATAATTTGTGAAGTTGTGCTTATCACCAGATTTATACAAAGGAATAACCTTTGCTATTTTCATATTATTGGGGAAGATATATCAACACCAGAGTACACTGCAACACACTGAAGGATAACACAAAAACAACAGAGCAGTACACCCCAGTTCAGTACAAAACAATTAAAAACAACATTAAAATGTAACAGCATGATAAGCAACTCATCACACAAACTGAGTCAGCATACTAAAACACACCAAAGCACAGTGCAAAACCAAAGTGACTGTCACAAAATTAAATGAACTTAAATGTTAAATGGAGACTATTTTCTTTTTTTTCCATTCTTGAAAACCCATATTTCTTCCTTCACCAATGTCACCAGTGTAATAAAGAAGAGATCTTACCCTGGCTTTACTGTTGGCCTTCGTTGTGAAGCTGATGGAGGCGTAGGAAACTCCATCTTCAGGATCAACCTACACAGTGAAGACAGCATGTTTTAGTGAATGTGCATTCAAACTGACTCTCTTCTAACTTTACCCCATTCTATTTGCTCACATTCAACACTTCTATTACTTCTGCCATGGAGATCATTCTATGTCTCTTAAACAATGTCTCAAAATGTTGTATATTAACAAAATATTGTGTATAATAATTGTGTTTTGGCCTCTGACCTCTGGTTTAACGACCCACTGTTTGGGACCAGTTGCATCATCTAAACTTTCCGTTTATATTTACACCATCTCACGCACAAAACCGTGAGACTGTGTTTCATACAGATATATTTTGAAGGACAAATACTGTAATGTTGTACTGCGTGTAGTGTGTGACCTCACCGTGTCCTGACTGGTTTCTGGAGCTGACTGAGTCACTGCAGACTTTGAGCTCAGCGCCTGGACAAATACAGTCTAGTTACACTTTTCAAAAATCATGTTACAATTCAATTAATGCCAGTGTCGTCCAGGCACAGTGCAACATACACAACACACTGTATCTGTGCAGCTTTCAATACAGGTGGTGTGATGGATGGGTGACAAAACAATACAGTGAATAGATTCAATTTGACTTGGAAAAAAATACAAAGCAATACATAAACAAATAAATAAAGTGCTGGGCCCTGGGTAAGCATACAGCCCTTCCTCTCAGACTCAGATTTGGCACATGAGGGATTTGCCAGGGTTGCCTGATCGGTCATTCAGATGGTGCTATTAATATTCAGCTGGTACTTTGTAAGGTGTACCTAATATTTTGTTTTTGTTTATATTCTATTTTTCATTTTCTCCACACTAGTTTCCTTGACTCATTAAAACTGGTAGCATTTTTGTGAACTCACAATACTGTCATTCATCGGTGTTTTGTTCCCTGAAAACACAAAAAAATGGATCAATTTAAACTTCCACGGAGGAAATTCAGTTTTATTATTATAATACTTATTGTTCAAGTTTAATCTGTGAATCTCTCACCTTTAGCTCTCTTCCATCTGATGATGGCTGCAACCAGTATTAGAAGTGCAACAAAAACCACAGCAACAACAATGTACCACCACCACCAGTCTGGAAAGAAAATATTATAAACATTTTAAGTAGTTTGGCTGCAGCTTTCCATTCTGTTCAAAATCACAATGAAAAAAGAGATTATTACATGTCATTTTCAAAAAACTGGTTAAACAGTCAGTGGATACGTGTGCCAAACCAAATAAAACAGCTTTGTTATGAAAACTACATCTAGTACAAACTCTACAAAACACTAGGAAACTAAGAGCTGAAGCCGACTGACTGCATGGTTGGTTTCCCCCGACATGTACTAATGTAAGGAATAATTCAAAATACTTATCAACAGTATTTCAAAACTCTGTTATTTCCCAATGAAATAAGACAAAGCACAAACCCTCCAAACAGGACAGAGACACAAAGCCTGTCTGAATGTCTGTTGTTGAATTTGGTCGTCAGCTGAGACTTTTGAGAAACATACGTAACTGTTGTAGAGTCATTACCTTGGGGATTAAAAGCAGCAGTGGGTGATGCTTCAGTTATATCTGTTGTTGATTGCGTTGTTGCTGTTATTGTGTCTTCACCTGGACAAATGAACAAACACAATGACTAATTGTTTAGAAAAACATCTGCTGTTAAATAAATGCACATTCTCACCTGGTGTCTCACCTGTGGGCTGAAAGGTGAAGTTAAACCGTTGGTCTCTGTTAGTCACTTCACAGGTTAATAACTTATCCCTGAATGAGTAAATGTAATTAGAAATCAGAAAAGTCAAAGTGGCATTGCAAGGAGACTGTGATGTCTTCAAGTCCTTGTTATCTTTATCCACATCGTTTCCCTTCAGCAGCCACTTCACTGTGTAAATGCACCGTCCATCAGTCCACAGAGAGCAGAGCAATGTCAACTTATCAGTGTCCTTCTGTTCAGTCACTGGTGAAGATGGAGATTTGGTGGGAGGAAAACAAAATACAATTAAAATCATAATCATAGATATTGTAATGTTTCAGCACATTGATCTAAACAGACTGTGGAGGAAACATGTTATAAACACTCACTGGTAACAACAGACAGATAAACAACATTGCCTCTCCCTTGTTGTTTGCAGGTGTAATGACCAACATCCTCAAATGTGACCTTCTTCACAACCAGTGAACATTTCTCTGTAACACTCAGTCTGTTTGATTTAGATGATGAAATCTCTCTTCTTTCAATCTGCCCATCTCTAACCAGCTCTACTGTTTTTCTGCTAAATGGATGAACGAAGAGCCAAACAGTTTGATCACATCGACAACTCACGGTGAGTTGTCACACCAGCTCAACGCGTAAATATTCAGTCTCATGTTCGTTCATTACGTAGTTATTATAAGAAATGTAAAAACGAAAAACATTTAAATACAAACTACAGATAACCATTACATTAAGTAAAATACCGTGTTGCTCTGCCATCCACTCGTTTATTCACAGAATTAAAAAAAAAAAACAAGGAGAAAATCAACTTCCTGTGTCTCATACAATGGCGCCAAAAGGCCATCACAATTTAACCCTTAAGTAACCACAGGTTTACAATAAATTTCAATTCAAATGAACTTGACACTCAGCTGCATTATTCAAATAGAACAATTTTAAATCAAACTTATGCATATTACAAAAATGGCACTTACATTCCGGCCCCTAATTGTCTATGCTGAGTGCATAACAATTACCAAATCACACATTAAAGTGACATTTTGACTTATATTATGTTAATCATGAATGTAAAGCAAAAAACTCAAACTCCAGTATTACTTAAACAGTTCTTTCATTTTCTAAACATGCGTATTAATGCAAAATAATATGTACTGTCAAACAATAGTTGGCTTAATGCGATCCACAAATGTTCCACATTCACTCATCCATTTCAAGCAATAGACACAATTTATCGATTGGTCTTTCCAAAACATTAGTTTTAGTTCTCACAAAAACACGTCTGACGTACCCCTGTGAATCACAAATGGTCTTTTCCACCTTTCCCATCAACCAAGAACCTCGTGGTGCACTGTCATCAATTATGAGGACAACATCTCCTAATTGCAGATTTCTCTGTGTCTGAGTCCACTTTTGCCTTTCTTGTAGAAGTGGCAAATATTCCTTAGTCCATCGCTTCCAAAAGATATCAGACAGATACTGCACCTGTCTCCACCTCCTCTTGGAATACAAGTCCTCCTTCTGAAACAAACCAGGAGGTAACCCTGGTTGTCCTTTCAACAGAAGCAAATGGTTAGGTGTGATTGCCTCCAAATCATTTGGATCAGATGACATTTTAGTTAGTGGCCTGTTGTTAACAATAGCCTCAACTTCACAAAATAATGTATGAAGACGTTCATCATCAATAATTTGCTGTTTCAAAACCTGATTGAGAATTCTTCTCACAGAACGTATCTGTCTTTCCCAAATGCCACCAAAATGTGAACCAGCTGGTGGATTAAATATCCATGTAACATTCTTTTGCAACAATGCCTCTGACATCTTAACTTGGTTCCATCCTTTGATTGCTTCTCTCATCTCTTTCTCCGCTCCAACCAAGTTTGTGCCATTGTCTGATCTCATGACAGACACTTGACCTCTCCTGGATATGAACCTCCTAAAGGCATTTATACAAGAGTCTGTCTCCAGTGAGTGGGCAACTTCTAAGTGTATTGCTCTAGTGGTAAGACATGTGAACAACACACCATACCTCTTGACTAGACTACGCCCGACCTTAACCTCAAAGGGACCAAAGTAATCTATTCCTACATTGGTGAATGGAGGCTTATCTCCTGTGAGGCGATCACTTGGTAAGTTTGCCATTTTCTGTTTTCCAGGTTTTGCTGCTAACCTTCTGCATGTTACACACTTTGACAACACTTTCCTGATAGCAGAATTTGCCTTGGGAATCCAAAACCTCTCTCTTAAATTAGAGAGTATGTAGTTCGTTCCACTGTGTCCTGTAACCTTGTGAATATGACGTATAATCAAAGCAGACACATGATGGTCTTTTGGAAGTATTATTGGATGCTTAGCCTCAATGGGCAATGATGACTGCCCCAACCTTCCTCCTACTCTCAAAACCCCATCCTGTAACACGGGATCCAGTTTAATGATATGACTATTTCTTTCAAGTTTGTCACCCTTTTGAAGAGCTGTAATTTCATTTTTGAAACTTTGTTTTTGACAGAACTTAACAATCTCCATTTCTCCCATTGCAACATCTGCAGCAGTAAGTAGAGTGCCCTTAAGCGTTGATTTGAACTTACACATTTGTTTTGCAACAAAATCCGCCTTGTGTTTAGGACTCTCAAACTCAGTAGTTTGTGATGATAAACACTTGCGCTGCTTGCTCAGCTTCTGAAGCAAGTGCTTTAATCTCAACATCCAGGAAACTGCCTTTTTTAAGTGATGCCAATCTGAGTAGTGACAAATGAGCTTGTTGATCTGATTCTCATCCACCTCAGTAACATTCACAGTCACTTCTCTTACTTCCACATCCTCCTTTAGTATTTCATTTGACACATCCGGTGATATCGGCCAATGTTCCTTTTCCTTCCACAGAAATGCTGGCCCATGAATCCAGTCTTTACACTTTATGAATGAGTCTGCATTCATTCCTCTGGATGCATGATCAGCAGGGTTCAACTCAGAGTTGACATACATCCACTGATTTGGTTTTGTGTTGTCTCTGATGAGCGATACTCTATTTGCTACAAAGGTTTTGAATCTAGCACTTTCACTGGCACCATCAGACTCCTAAACAGCTGACAGGAGTTTATTACCAGGAAATACGTCATGTACTGTTTACATTCTCAGTTTGCACATTGACTGTTGACTGCTGCACATGCTGCTCCCATGCAGCATACATTCTCTTATTATATATTTTTATTATATTGCTGCATTTGCCGCTTAAAGTGCCTTAGATTTTGTGTTACTTATTCATCTACTTTATATTTCATTTGTATTTTGTGGCATTCATGTGGACGGCAAAGTAAGAATTTCATTGTACAGGGAAACACGTTTCCTAACTGTGCATACGACAAATAAACACTTTGACCTTAAACATCAAAATAATATAAACTTACATTAATACACTCACTCCTACTAACACTCTAATCCATAGCGAATAACCCCTCTCTCGTCTCTCTCTACACACACACACACACATTGCGGTCGTCCACGTCAAGAGAACATCTTTTGGTCAACAAATCTATGTGAACACTAAGCATGGCGTGTACCCCAAACCTGAAATTAACTCTCTACGTTGAATTAAGATAACTTGAACATTTATACATGTTACAAAACACTTTAGAACATTATTCGAATCCTTTTTCAAGCATCGTAAACACTTACGTACTGAATTATCTGTTACTGAACAACGGTAAAAGTAACACTAGTTCAGCAGTACCAAAACACTCTTTAAACCAACAACAAGTACTTGACATCATCGCAGTATGTTCACAACACTTTCGTTTTACTTTAGAGTGAGTTAGAACCATGTTTAAGTTAACAAAGTCACTTTTATCGACATACCTGTGGATAAGAGGGAGCGAAGACGTTTTACCCAGACCATGCTTCTGCACTTAGTCTCTCCAGTTTCCAGAGTTACAGCACCATCTATTGGTCTGGAGGTGTATAGTGCACAGAAATGTCATGAAAGACACAGCAACAGCGCAAAAAATATATATATACAGTGGTGTGAAAAAGTATTTGCCCCCTTACTGATTTCTTATCTTTTTGCATGTTTGTCACACTGTAATGTTTCAGATCATCAAACAAATTTAAATATTAGTCAACGATAACACAAGTAAACACATCATGCAGTTTTTAAATGAAGGTTTTTATTATTAAGGGAAAACAAAATCCAAAACTACAAAGCCCTGTGTGAATAAGTGTTTGCCCCCC